TTTTCAATTAGTGCCTTTTTCAGTCTTGATTTAAAAATGTTAAGATTTGGTGATATTTTAATTGATTCTTGTAATTTATTAAAAATTTTTGGTCTAAGATAAAGAAAACTTCTCTGATAAAGAGTTGTTCTATGAATATTGGGCATCAGTTTGTCTCTAGAACGAGTTGGATAATTATGTTGCTGGAAAGGTGTATTATGCTTGTTTCTATATACGTATATACACAATTCATAAATATAGAGACCAGCAACAGTATCTTGAGATTTTTAAAAGCATCTCTACATGATTCTCTCCAACCAATACCGGCAATGCTTCTTATTGCATGTTTTTGCAAAATAAATATTCTTTCAGCAGCAGATCCGGTACCCCAATTCAAAATTCCATATCTTAAGTGGCAGTTTATGGTCGCATAGTATAAGCTCAGTAAAATCTCTTTACTACAAAAATTAGCCATGAATCTCAGAGCATAGCAGTTTTTTCTCAATTTAATACAGAGGGTCTGAATATCAGGAGTCCATATATTACTATTTTTCAAGCATCATTTTCTTCAACAATAATATCTTCTGCAATTTTACTGGTCTAATCTGCTGCGATATATTTTAAACAAAAGATAGTATGATAAAAAATTGGTGCAGGAATACAAAGTCTTTATCTTGTCGACTCGGCAGAGTCAAAACGGCGGTGATTGGCGGGTCAACATAACTTCGATATTCTCAAAATTCCCCAAAACACTCCGGCGATCGAAGAACAATAATTATTATTTAAAATTGTCTTGTGCCCATTATACATTATACATTAAATGTATATGTTTGAAAATGTCCTTATAGAACGAAACTGCAGTAACGTTAGTTACAAATAAAAGTGGTGAAAAAATAGAAATTTTCATTTCTCTTGTCTTCATACTACGTAGTAACGGCTACATCCATCAATTTATTATTTTTAAAACTCTTTGTCTATTTATTTTCGTTGATCAACCATCGTTCTAAATCAGTAATCGGTGATTCCAAAGTGGTCCAGATAGACCCCTAGGAGTCCCCTTGGGACTCCTGGCGTTCAACGTTGGCATGACCAAAACATGGGGGTTCACCATTCGTAAGCGGAGGTCCACGGAAATTTATCTGGTTTCGATAGTTAATTACCGAAAATATAGGTTCGAATTCACCTATCAATGTAGGCAGGTTATATTTTAAGATCAGCGACTGTTATATGTGAGAACTTGCGGAATTGTCATTGTAGTGTAGAAGTTACGTTATTAATGTTCAATTTTAATTACATTACAAGTAACACAAGAAATTTAACAATTTTTTTTTACCATAATGAATGGTGAGTTGTCTAAACATAATAAATGAGAACTCATTGTTTTTTTTTGAAGTGAGTAGATGTCAAAAAAGTAAAGGTAGATGAATTAACTTTTTTGAATGACCAACTTCATTTTCTTGATATCCGCTCACAGCTCAATCAATTGATAAACCAACCAATCAATTCTCACTTTACATTGGAAAACTGTTATATTAATTTCTGGTTGGAACGTAGCTGCAACGCAAATTTCCGTAGTTTGATCTAATTTTCACAATTTTTGGCGAGTTTTGGGAATATGGTAGAAATGTAGTTGCGCAGAGGGTCCACCGGAGCCAAAAAAATTTTGAAAGTGGTCTATGATAAAAAAAGTTTGGCAATCTCTGTTTTAAATGATATGTATGTGGAAATGAATGGATACGAATACGAATAAATGCATAAGCTTTGATACGTCATTTTTTTATGTAGTTTCATGAGAGATCTTTTTTGTTGGATCTGTTTATGTTAATGGAGTGATCGTAGAAAATCAAAATTTTGCTAATTTTCCAAAAGTTCTCTGATTCCTTTTAAATTATCGGCATATTGAGTTTTTTTTTTGTTATTATTCCAGCTGTATGATGTTTTTAATACATATTTTGGTGAATATTCTGAATTATATTCTTAGGTTACTTGCTTTCAATCATTGAAAAAGAAACATGAATAGAATTCAGCTATGATTATTGATAAAGGAATACATAAGATACACATTTGAATGGTTGTATGAATGATCTTCAGTTTTCAATCAATCAACTAAGTAGTAAGTTGTCATCAAAACCAATTAAAATTTTCGAATGTACTTTTCACAACTATTTTCACAGATATAGGATTGTTTGAATTCACTCTTTTGAAATATATTCGTTTAAATAGTGTAATATTTACGTCGTCATGAAATATTAGAATTGATTTCAATGAATTGATTTATTCAACGAAAGTCATTTTTTGTGGAGGAAAAATCAGTTTTTTATCGACCTTTTTTGGGTATTCGTTACCTTCCACAATCTGAAAAATATAAAAATTGTAATGGAGAACTTTATACAAGTGTATAAAGTTGATAAAACTCTTCAAATTGTCAAATCCAGGTTGGAAATTGACTCAACTTTAAAACATCGAACGAAGTTAGATGTTAATTCTATACTAGAACTTTTAAGATTATGTATAGACAAAATCTATTTTCAATATAGAGATGATTTCTATCAACAATAATTTGACATGGCTATGGGTTCCCCTTCATCTCCCATCTTAAGTAACATATATATCGAGTATTTTGAAGAATCTTATGCTGAAACTTATCAGAATGGTCCCAAAGTTGGTGGAGATACGTTGACGATATCTTTGCTATTTGGAATAGAAACCATGATGACCTGAATGCTTTTTTGAATTATATTAAGGAGCGAGAGCCGACAATAAAATTCACAATAGAGATTGAACAAGATAGTCGACTCCCTTTCCTTGATGTAATGTTAGAGAAATCATCAGATCAATTTGGTACAAATGTTCATCGGAAGAAAACACCAAATAGATATCTCCACTATACATCAAATCATCATGCGAGTGTTAAAAAAGGTATAATAAATTGCCTTTACAAAAGAGCTGAAACGATATGCAATTCAACTGAAAATCTCAATAAAGAAATATCATTAATTGAATCTGTTTTGAAAGATAACGCTTATCCAGATTCGTTCATAAATTCAACGATAAATGCAATAGAAAATAAAGAGTCAATTAAAAACCAAACGAGCATACAAACAGCTCCACAAATTCAACAACATCCAACTGAACAATTACCGACTCAATATCCACCGACGTCTTTCACAATTAACGTTATACCTTACATTCCAAGACTATCTGAAAAAATAAGACGAATTGGAAATAGGTATGATGCTAGAACTACTTTCAAAAAAAATACACTGAGATCTATACTCACACATACAAAACCCAACAACACTGAAGAAAAAACAAAAAATTGTATTTATAAAATACCTTGTTCTTGTGGTAAAAGTTACATTGGTGGAACCTCAAGACCATTGAAAGTGCGTGAGAATGAACATCGAGATTATATAAAAAATAGACAATTGACAAGATCAAAATTATCAGAACACATTTTAAAATCAGACGGTGAACATCGGGTGGAATGGAATAGGACAAGAATTGTTACCAATGAGCCTCATTCTAAGAGACGTAAGCTTAAAGAATCAGCGTATATTCTCATGTCTGGAGAGAATTGTATCTCGAATAGCTCCTTAGAAATAGACCGTACTTGGCTACCCATCTTGAAGAAAACTTTCGATAGTGGCGAGTACCTTGTATTACATCGAATGTTTCAGTTGTCAATCAACAACATTGACATAATTTCATATTTCAAAACTTCTTTGACATCTGTCGAAGAAGTGAAAAAATAAGTCATCAAAAAAGGAATAACTGCGAATATATTCGAATTTTTTATCCATTTCTGAAAACGGAGGCAGATTTTGGCCTCCGAAATGTAAAAGATAAGTATTATTTCTTAATAATTTTTTTGATAGGCAAAATTGTTAAAAACGATAAGTTACTGATAAATAGAAGATTTTTCTTTGTCAAAAATACTTTGATTTTTTCGCAGTAACTTATCGGGGTAAACTAAAAAGTTTGTCCTTCTACACTTGTATAAAGTTCTACATTATAATTTTTATATTTTTCAGATTGTGGGAAGTAACAAATAACCAAAAAAGGTCGATAAAAAACTGAATTGATTTGTTTCAATGCATTCATTTATTTCATTATTATCAGTCGAATTGTCAGTCCACAAAGATTTGATCTATTCAATTGGATCTATTTCCTCATAATTCTTGTATTCAAAGTGATAAACATAAAATTACTCCATTTTCAGAAATAAATTGTTTTCTTAGAATTAGGTTTGATTATATTAAGATTTGGCCTGGGAAAGGTATATATAATTATAAAAATAGTACAAATACAAATCAGAACACAGGTCCCACTATTTTTGCAACAGAATTTTTGCAACAATGTAAATTGTCATGAAGGTGAGAATTTTTCATTGAAGTTGTTACTCTAGCGCTGAACTTTTTTTGAGGGCAGTTGAATCCAGCAATGCATTAACGGTTCAGTCTAGTACCACTGATGAGACCTGTGACAGGTCTAAACGGCGCCGTTTAGTGTTGAATCATAAATGTTTTGTGTTTGGCCCTGGCAAAAAATAAATTCTTTGATATACTGGAAATAATCTGTTGAAGATGAGCCTCTGAAATGCACAAGTTTCAAACAACAAAAATTAAATATCCGATCACATTTTTTACCCAAACAAAGGATCCCAGATCCATACTTAATTGCGCAATCGAACATTCCCATCATTTCTCGTCCAAACTCCGACTACAGAGCGAAAATCCATCGCTCTTACAATTAATAAATTCCAATAAAAAAACTTCATACATATATCCACTTCTTTCCTGAAAGCGATCAAGCTCTCTCATCTCACGGGACGCACATGATGACGGGCCTCGCTAAAGAGCATTTCCCCTCTCCCTCACTCCCAAGGGACCGGCAGCGAGATGCGTGAGAGAAAGGTAAAACAGCCCGATAAGTGGCAACCGACCAAAGTGGGAGGAGCCAAGAATCCTCCAACTCCAAACCTTCAAACAGCCTCCAGTCTCAGTGAACCCATCAGAGAGAGTAGTTATTTTGCAGTGACAGATAAAGAAACTCTAATTTTATTGAATGACAAGTGTTTTTTTTCGACTGCAGACTGGTTGTTTGTTATTTTCACGGTGTTGGTAGTGCTTCAGTTAATTTTGTTGTGCTTAAAAAGGATAATTACGCCTCGTGGATTCCTGTAACGTTAAATTGCATGCTTGATTTCGATAAACGCTATAATACGACTAACTCCAATTCGTAGATAACAAACAATAACTAATCTAAGTACGTAAACGTGTAACATTTACCTCGTGCTAGCCTTTCCCACTCAGGCGCCAGTCGGCCGTCATCCATCATGGTGCGTGACGTCACAAGTTTCTATTGGAGCGCCAGTAATCACGTGGTGGGTTAAAACGCCGCGGTGGGCGTAAACAAGTGTGAGCGCGAGAGAGAGCCTTCGGTAGTAGGGGAACAGAAAAAAGAACTTCTATGCAATGAGGTAGTGCGTTAGAAGTCCCCACCGTAAACTCTGGCAACTTCAGAGCTTTTGCGTTAGAGCTTTAGAAAAATTAATGATCATGAGTTCGTTTTTGATGAACCCCGTTTCTGGAGCTCTCCCGTCGAGCTATCAGCAAGCTCAACATATATCAGCCGGTGTCGTAGTTGACCCGAAATTTCCCCCTAGTGAGGAGTACAGTCAGAACAGTTACATCCCGTCGCCAACTGAGAATTTTTTCGGGAACCACCACCTCAGTCAGCCACAGCACCACTTGCAATATGGTTACCACAACCACCACCAAACGACTTCCTACGGTTCCGGAGGAATGCCCTTATCGAACCAGTACGGAACTTATGGTAATTACTATCACCATCAGCTGCATCATGCACCGCCCTTGCATTCCCACCAAATCCGCCCGTCTATTCAGCTCCACGAGTCGCAACCCCTGGTCAACTGCGAATCCTTACCAAACAGCCACAATCAAAACAGTTCGTCTAATATTTTGCAAAACATTGCAGTCATCGCGCCTTCTGTTTCTCAACCAAGTGATGTGAACTCTAGTGTGTGTAGTCCTGCTTCTGTTGGTCATGGACAAGAATCCAGAGGGTCTCCTCCCGGACATTCATTGCAGGAGTTAGGACTCAGGTTAGAAGATAGTGTTTCTGATGGACCCGATGATCTGGATGATCAGGGTAGCTCAACGAACAATGATGAAGATGACGATGACGATGAAAATGGTGATAGGCCGATTTATCCTTGGATGAAAAAGGTCCATGTTGCAGGAGCTTGTAAGTTTGTTTGTTGAATTACTTTGTTCGTTGATGTTGCTCGAGAATTTGTTGGCAAGTGAAAGAAATTAACGTATTGCATTGAAATTTTGGGAAGTATCTAGTTACGATGAAAAACTTCCTACTGTATATTCATCAGTACATATTCAGAGAGGACTGTTTAATACAGAATATGAAAATTACCCATTTGTAGTTATACAAAACCTTGTCAATTATCTGAAATTTCTACTAGCTTTTGAAGAAGTTCAAATTGAAAATTATCATGATGATAATCGTTACTATCCAAGACCTTGAACTGATCAACAGCAATGTTGGGATCTAAATGGAATCTATAACGGAGATATATTAATTAAAAAAGATGTAGAAAAATTCTGTTGAATCCTATTTTCCCGTTCACCAACTGTCTCCCTCCTATAAACAGCAACCCTCAAAGGTTGGAACTTATGTGGGCTGAGGATTAACGAGGTCTTAATTTTAACGGTGCGATTCTTAACGAAAAATTGTATTGCAATGCATATCTGAGAATAATTGATATTATTTTGAAGCGTCAGTTATACAAAATAAAATAATAGACATTTGGGAGTTATTTTAAATAAAGCTATAATTTCAAAACTGAAGTGGATGCATGAGTCTTTTGAAATTTTCAGTGAGAGACGGAGAATATATCAAAATGCGTTCATATTTTTATATAGAGTCATTAATGATAGGCTTCCTGAATATCTCAAAGATAAATTGCAGTTTTCGAATATTAGCCATCTATATAATACAAGAATTTCAACTGATATCTTATTGAAGAGATATAACACAAGTTCTGGACAAAATCAAGTATTCTATTAAGGTTTGCAAAATAATAATAAGTTGCCATCAGAAATGAAAAATTCCGAAAATTTTGTGAAATTTTGAAAAATTTGTTCAATTTTTGTAGTCACAAAATAACATTGATTCCTGAGTAATAATTTGATAACTTCATTAAAATATTCACTCTCGTTTTTTTCTTTCATCATATCGACTTTATACAGAGTTTACTTAAAAATAATATGAATATATAATTCCTTTTTTGTTAACCAATTATAATGATCTGTTTATATTATGTTAATTGAAATTTGTATTAAGTAGCTTCATGACTGAATAAACTTATTATCATTATTATGAAATCAGAATGAAATTTTGGTAACAATCAAATTAATTTATCCTGAGAAAGTATTAGGTATCATTATTGTTACTAATAATAAATGAAATACATTATTCTCAGACACAAACGGAAAGAAAGTCCTCCTGAAACAGCTACTTTCATATTAACAGTGAATTACACGAAAGAAAAAATTCTTTCGAAACAAATACTTCTATATGAACACTGAATTATACAGATGATACTTTTCTCTACTCAGTTTGTATTTCAAACATTCGTTGTGGAATAAAAATCAGATATCATTCACATGAGTTCTACTTTAAATGAATGGTAACAAATTGCACTTACATAGAACACTGCCATCCTCACTGGTATACACCGATGTTTCGCTTTAAGACACTTGCCCTAAGGATGGCAGTGTTCTATGTAAGTGCAATTTGTTACCATTCATTTAAAGTAGAACTCATATGAGTGATATCTGATTTTTACTCCACAACGAATATTTGAAATACAAACTGAGTAGAGAAAAGTATCTTCTGTATAATTCAGTGTTCATATAGAAGTATTTGTTTCGAAAGAAATTTTTCTTTCGTATAATTCAATGTTTATATGAAAGTAGCAGTTTCAGGAGGACTTTCTTTCAGTTTGTATCTGAAAGTTACTTCTTTGCATGATCTACACATCCATGTATAGAGTTACTTCCTTCCTTTCTTTGGAAGACTCCCTAATCCTTCTTTTTTTGTATCAAGATGGAGTAGTAGAAAGCCAAAAACTTTCTTTCCCAAAAATTAATCACTCCTGAAAAATATAACCCCTTCGACTGAAATACATTATATTATTTATTATTTTTCAATTGATTTGTGACCGTTATGAGATGACTCAAGTTACTTGAGTTACTTCACCAAACTGTTCGATCATATTCTGTCTATAATTTGCTTGTTTATAGATTTCTCTTACAGTTGATCGCTTCACAAAAATGCTTGAACCAAACCTAAAATATTCAAGGCCAAAATAATTTGAAGAATATAGTTTGTTGATGAGTTTTGATACATGAAAGAGTGAACGTAATGAAATTTGTACATTTCACTGGCTTACAACATTCAATCAAAAATCAGAACCAAAATAAAGTATTTATAAGTGAGTAAAACTATATACGCAAGTTATTCATACGAATACATTCCAGATAAGTATATTTAAGAATGGAGGGGACATTAACAATACAGTACTATTCTAATAATTATCTATATAATAATAATGGCGAGGTTACAAAAAAGTAATGAATATATACGTTCTCGAGTTGGTCATTTGTTTACTCAAAAAAACTAGGTTTCGGCTCTCGAGTGATTCTCTCCTAAAATTCAAAAGTTTGATAGAATACATGAATATGCTATTATTGATTCATCAAATTACTTCTTTTCATCGTCCTGTGAGATTGAGACTTTCAACATGTTATACAAGTAACTAGGGGATATGAAAATAGGACAAAACGCAGTTTATGCGAATGAAACGCCCTGTATTTTGGAATAGCTTTGAAATTCCGAGATGATTTTCACTAATTTTCATGCAACATTTGCTATATCAACATGCTATTATTTGAAAACATAATTTTAGATGAATAGATAACGACTGAGTTCAATTAAGAAAGTTTTTACCAACTTCAGATATGAATACTATTATTTCCCATAATACGGGTAACCGGCGGTTGTCGTGCTGTACCCTGTAAATTGATACATAATGATTTGTGACTAGCACCTATCCATTGACAGAATGTCAATAAAACAAATTTTCTATTTACGAAAAAATTTACGCAAAAAAATAACAAGTAGATAACTACATCATTTCATCATAATGAGCAAAATTATACTAAAATGTTTTTGAAAAAAAGTGATATTTCGTATTCTCAGGAATAGTTATACCTACTCAATATATTTCTACACAATAATTAATTTTGTTCAGTTGAGTGGGATCAATTATTTAAATTTTGTTATAATTATTATTTTTTCAGTAATCAATAATATTAGGTACAATACCGAATTCAGTCAGTAAAAGAATATGACGACAGATATATTCTCCATCAAATAAATTTTGAAAACAGATCTAAATGACATTTGTTTATAAAAAATATTAGGTAGGTGAATTTTGAATGCATCGATATGATAGTTACTTATCTTATCAGCAAATGTGAAAAATTGTTCCCTTGAAAACACGTGTACCAAACATGCAATTATCAAATAATTTTTTACACGAGTTAGCGTTAATACCGCCATTACGAATTGATAATTTGATTTCTAGAAATCAAAAGTGGAAACTATCAAGGATAGATACGCATAGATAGATGCATAATATACTCTTTCAGCCCCATAGTCATTTTTTGAAATAACATTTTTAACAATATATTCATGGAAAGGCATAATGAATGCAATAAAAATTCCCGACCAGCAAAGCAACTAGAACAATTTTCTCGACGTGCGTTTTCGCCAAGTAAGTTGAGAAGTAGACCTACTATGATTTCTGAAATGGAAGATGTTTTTTCTTTCAGATGTATCCACGGTGAAAACATATTTTATTGGAAAAACGCTTTTTTGCTTTTTAATTTTTGCATAATTAATAAAATATGGGACATAGTTGTATAGGATATGTATAGAAATTTCTTTCAGATATCAAGATGAACAAGAGAGTATTCAAAATGAATGATACACGTATTTAAATTGGAAGGGTATACTTTTAGAAGAGAGTAATTTTTAGGAAAGAAAAGTTTTGATTTTCTACTACTCCATCCTCATACAAAAAGAATGTGGTAATCTTCCAAAGAAAGGAAAGAAGCAATTAATTTCATAAGAAATAACTCTATACTCACATAGATGTGTAGATCATGCAAAGAAATAACTTTCAGACACAAGCTAGAAGAGAAAGCCCTCTTAAAACAGCTATTTTCATATCAACATTGAATTACATGAAAGAAAATTACTTTTGATCAAATCCCAGCCAAAGGAATTTTGTTTAAATTGAAAGGGTATATTTTTAGGAGAAATTGATTTTTGAGAAAGAAGCATTTTGGCTTTCTTTGTTATACTATTGAAATCGACTGAAAAATCAATAGTTTTCTTGTTTAAATATGGTTCACTTATCTTTTTCTATAAAATCAACATTAAGCTTTGGATAAAAGAATACGTCTGGTTGATTGTAGATTTGGTAAGAGGTGATTCACTGTTCTCCCTCTCCTCTAAGCCAGAAACAATATGAGAAAAATATTTGTGTCTAACAATTCAACATTTCATCTCAAATTTACCATTTTCACAAGATGTAACATTTTCTATAACGCTGTTTAAAATGTCGTCTGTTGGGAAGTCCATTGTTTGTAAACCATCGTCAATATCAACATAATCTTCAAAGGACCTATCATCGCTTTCCATTGTTGTTCTGCATAAGGTTCAAACTTGTTTCAATTCAAAAAGTGAAAGATCATTTTCTTCATCCCAGTTATACTGCATTCATTTATCTTTAGCATAACCTGCCTTACTAAAACAATTGCTGTTTGTTTGTTGTTTCATAACAAGATTCCAGGATTTGTTAAGATCCCTTGTGGCATCAAACTTCCATTACGATTCATTTTATATGATACTGTTTAAGATATTTAATAATCCCTTGGTCCATTGGTTGAAGAACAGACGTCAGATCAAGGGGGAAATATTTGAATTTAATGTTTTTTAGTCTTGTTCCTAATTCCTAGGATGTGCGGACAATTGTCAAATATCAGTAGAATTTTCCTATTTTGAGCAGCATAGATGTTATCTAGCTTTTCAAGACACTTCTCATAAATTTCACTTCTCATCCACGCATTTTTGTTGTGTTCATAATCCACATCAGGTGA